TGTATTACAAATTTATAAAGTTCCAGTATATTAAAATATCTTCAACATAAAGTAAAAACCATATGTCTGTGTTTTTATTGATGAGCAATGAAGCAATGAAGAAATGAATGGAATGATCTTTTTCCATAAAAATGATTTCCTTCTTATCACATATTTGCCAATCGTTCAAGCGTGCATTGATAATAATGTTTACTATCAATAATAAATATTTAATTAAGCTGAGTTATTATATGCAATTATTTCTATTTGCTTTACGTTTTATATTTTACAATACGTATAAATGATCGCGAATAAACAATACAAATAAACAATATTAAAGTGATACATTTGATATGTTTAATTATCATGCATGCATTATTCTACTTCGTTTAACTTAAACTGTGAGATGTAATTAAGCAATCTTCAATACTTTCATATCTGTTTTATCATAATGTAGAATACATGCAATGTCATCGTGTTTATTTACCGTAAAAAATGCGATCAGTCCTGTTCACCGAGGAATATTGATATCAATCCTATAAAAGAAAGCGGAAACTGTTATGCTCACTTTTATTTTTGACCCAGCTTACACCCATCCGCAAGCATGCAGTCTTTTGCTGTCTTCTTCGTGATTGGCGTTCTTGCGCAACGTAAGTAAAGACGCATCGAATAATTCAACATGATATTATTCTCGTATCTGCAATAAATATTTTATTAATTTATCCATACGCATTTGTCGTACCTAAAACAATGTAGATTGTTTTATGAAAAATATCTATTGTACATATTGATTTACAGAGACGTTCGCTGACGAGCCCGAAGCGATCGTCGGCGGTACGCTTGCCTCGTTGGGCGAATTCCCGTGGCAAATTTCCTTGCAACAAAACGGTCAACACATTTGCGGTGGTTCCATCATTGGCCCCACAAAAATTTTGACCGCCGCTCATTGTGTGAAGAACATATTTTTTCCACCCTACTCCAATTGCCGCGTTGTCACTGGAAGTACTAAAGTCGATCAAGGACAATCTCACACTGTGAAGAGTATCCGCATACATCCTTATTATGCAGATAGCGTGCTGAGATCTTGGGAGAATGACATCGCTGTGATCACCGTTAGTCGATACACTGATCGCAAGATAATTCAGTATTTTTAGAACTCGAAAAGTTTGAAATTAGAGCTCGAAAATTTTCTTTCCGCACGCTGTTTCTTTCAGTCGTGCATTTCGCTCATTTGCCTTGTTCGTTTCAGCTCAATGCTCCGATACAGTACAACAAATATCAGTCTGCTGTCACTTTGGCCAAGAAACCGCCAGTTCCCGGCACGCAGTGCTCCTTGTCCGGATGGGGTTTGATAAGAGCAAATGGACCGGCCCCCAAGGATCTTCTCAAGATGAACCAGGTCATAGTCGGTCAGAATGAATGCCAGGAATATCACAGAACTATGCGCATTTATAATAGCCACTTGTGCGGATTTAATCAACGGGGAATCGGCGCTTGTCAGGTAAATATCCAGTAACATCCATTATTACGGAATATTTTCGTATCTTGATACAAAATTTATTTGCTAATTTTTTACTATGGCTACTAAAAATGTAGGATTTACAAAAAAATTAACAAAAATATTTCTTTTCACTTGTCAGGGTGACAGCGGCGGTCCGTTCGTCTGCAACGGCGAGCAGTACGGTATTACTTCCTGGTCTCGTCCTTGCGCTGTCGGTGTTCCTGATGTCTACACCAGCGTGTATCATCAGCTTGGCTTTATCCAGGAATCGTAAACATAGAGATCGTTGGCACAAAGATCTATGATGGATAAATCGGCTTATTTGAACCACGTCAACTCGTGTCAATGCAATCGATAAAATACGTGTCGTGATATTGAGCGACATGTATCGATAGCATCCTTAGAATAAGAGAAACTCTGTATTTTACATGCTAACAAAAAAAATAAAATAATACACTGCTGAAAATAAAGTAAGGCTATTCTTCATTTTTCTTGATATTCTCTTATCTGATATTCAGCTTTTTTATGGAACAAGTTGTACGCAGATTTCTCTTTGTTAATGTATCAAATGCCAGTATCAAATGTCATGAGTGCTAATAATCTTTATTCGTACTTTATTCAAGTATTATATTTATTCAGTATTTTGATTAGAGTTTTTGCGCTCTTGTGTTAAAAAAAGCGGCATTTATTAGCTTCTGTTTTTCTTATTTCAAACAAATTGAATTTATAGATTGTCACAAAATTTTAGATAGAATTTTATTTATAATTTTATGTGTTATATAACATAAAATTTAAAACGTTATTTTATTAAGTTTAAAATATATGTATTTTGTACATACATATATACGTATTACGGATTCAAACCTAATTTAGCTGAGACACAAACTCAGCCAAGACTCAAATCCTACTCAGCTGATACTCAAATTCTATTATTATTACAAAAGAAACAAAAATTCGAATAACGATAGCAATAACTAAAAAATTTTAATATCTAAACTTTGACTTATTATATTTATCTTTATAAAACGTGTAAAATAAAAATAAAGATACCGGGTCCGTTGTGCTTGAATTGACGCGATTGTATCTCTTGACAATGAAGTATTGATCAAATATTTAGTCTTGTCATGCAGAGAGAAGTTCAAGTCATAAATCAGCTCGATTCAAATACAATTTTTGGTATTTTAGCAGAATAGTAATCTATATTATCTGACATTTCGGTGAGTTTACTTATTTAATTACTTCATTTTCAGAAATCTAACTTATTGTCATGTATTATTTTGTAAATATCTGCTAAATATTTTATGGCAGATATGGACATTTCTAACGGAAAGGAAGTGGAACCAAAAGTGCAAGATAATTCTTTTATAAATCATTTGAAATCGCAAGAGGAATATGATCAATCTGATCGGATTTATGGTAGAAAATTGCAATCCCCGATACTTGGTTATAATTATCAACTTCCTAATTTATCAACAAATTGTGTATCTGTCACTACTTTGGATACATCTCTATTACATGTAATATTCAACAAAATATAGAATTTTATCCTAGCTTGCTAACTTTTCTATTAAAATCTATTACTGCATTTATAGATTCCAATTTACACTCATTTAAAAATATATGACCTAAAACCTGTGCAATTACCGGAAGTACCGTCGATTTTGTCGGCATTACATTTGCAATTTTCGTGAGTATTACATTATTAAATATTATAATATAATAATATTAATATAAATAATAAACTTATTTTCAGGGAAGATACTGTACTCAGCAAATCTTCCAGAGAAATATCGATTAACACATGTTAGACATGAAGAAACCGGCTTTTGAAAATTTTCGTGCATTATAAAGACAACTTTAAAGAGAAAAGTAAAGCCAATAATATAATTATCAGCGATAGAACAACAAAAATAAGTTTGTGACTTTTATTGCCAGACCTTATACATATATGCATTAAGATCCTTTATATAAAAATTAATTTCACTATATTATATAAATATATCTTACCAATCTTATCGCTATATTAGTATTCTATTATTTAAAAATTAAAAACCAAGTACACACATTAAAAAATATTTAAATATACAAGAAAAATGGAAAAAATATTTGTTATTTAAAACGCGCAGATTTAGACAAATTTTTAAAAAATAAATTGTTTAAAAATATATGTATGCAAATATATATATTTTTATCAAATATTTTATTACTATTTTCGTCGTAAAACGTTTTGGTTTTATTGGATATAATGTAACTAAAAATACTCCCAGTATCATAACACTTATCGGCGTATCAGTTATTAGTATTCTATAACGCGACTTTATGGAAGTTTTATGCATGTGTTGCATTAAGAAGGAAAAATATAAAAAATCTATGCGTAGCACATAAACGACGTCATTTGCAAAGCGAGATTATATTTGTTAAAAACAAGAAATATTTATCTTATAATTATCATTATATTTTCACGTGCTCCAGTATATCATATTGCGTTTATATTGCGTAAATCCAATTGGTAATTGACTTGCATTGATCTAAAAGAAAAGTGTGACGCTGACGTAAGTTTCCTTATATTTGAATTTAAATGTACTTTATTAAAATTAATATGAACGTGAATGTGTAGGTTGTTCAATTTATTAGAAATCCTATTTGTATTCTTTACTGGTTTATATGTAAAATTAGTTTGTATCAAATACTTAAAGTCTGATAATTTTTATGATTTTCTTTAAGATATAAAACGTACACATATATGTCATGTTTATTTTTGAAAAAGTTAAAAAACATTTTTTATAGTTTACACACCTATAAAGAAGTAAACAAGATAAAAAAACAAGGTTATAAACTTTCGTACGTATCATACGCCATATATGTTAATTATATCGAGCGCAATTCGCGAGACAAGAATCGATTATGGTAAATTTTTTTTATTAAAAAGTCTAATGACGATATACTGCTATGCCTTACTTTGGACACATAAATGAAAGTAAAATCCGTTTTTTTTCTTTCTTTTTTGTAAAGTCAATCTTGACCAGATGTCACAATCTCAAAGTGCGTAATGTAATTTTTTGTCTGATAATTTTTTTTATCTGAAGTTAAAAAATGGTTTTATTCCTTTGTTTATCACTGTATTGCGAATGTATGTGCGTTTATATGCAAATATATATTTTATGAGACGTCATATACATGATATTACTATTGCGCGTATCGTATATAATTAAAACATGAGTCACTTTACTGATTTATATACCAGCATTCATAAAGCAGTTTTATAATTATCGCAACTACCTGCAAAATATTGAAAAGAATTTTCGAACATGTCGAGCGGAGTACTTAGCAGTATCAGCATATTATTTGCTGTAATCATATCGTTAAACGGGCAACCGCCGTTCAACGCGTATCAGAATTTTTACAATAACGCAAGAGAATGGAACATAGGAAATATAGCACAAGTAGGAATTGGATTGTTCGGCTTTCTGCAGCAGAATCAACGTTTTGTAGACCAAGAAGTGCCGGATGTGACTCCGCAGTTCGGGACCACGTATGACTTCGTAATAGTGGGCGCCGGCACGGCCGGTGCCACGCTAGCCGCGAGAATGAGTGAAATTCCTCAAGCAAAAGTGTTGTTAATAGAAGCTGGAGGCCACGAGAACCTTTTCATGGACATCCCGTTGATCGTCAACCTCTTGCAATTGAGCGACGAGCTCAACTGGAAATTTCAAACTAAACCGTCAGACAAGTACTGTCTTGGCATGATCGACAACAGCTGCAGCTGGCCGAGAGGCAAAGTACTCGGCGGTAGCAGCGTGTTAAACTACATGATCGCCACTAGAGGCGGCGCCGAGGATTACGATCGCTGGGCCAAAATGGGGAACGACGGCTGGGCTTACAAGGACGTTCTCAAGTACTTCAAGAAACTTGAAACGATCAATATGTCGGAGATGGAGGCGGATGTTGCGTACCGCGGAACCAAAGGGCCGTTACACGTCTCTTCTTCGACATACCGCACGCCGTTGGCGGAAGCGTTTTTACGCGCCGGCCAGGAGCTGGGATATCCGATAGTGGATTACAACGGGAAGAATATGATCGGATTCTCGTACCTGCAAAGTACGACCGTGAACGGCACCCGTGCAAGCAGCAATAGTGCGTATCTGCATCCAATTCGCCAACGCAAGAATCTGCGCGTGACCCTTAACAGTACGGTGAGAAAAGTGTTGATCGACCGTCGTACGAATCGAGTGATTGGCGTGGAGTTCGCGAAAGACCGTCGGATTATTTCCGTCTTTGCGAGCAAAGAGGTGATCTTGTGCGCGGGCGCCATCATGTCGCCGCAGCTGTTGATGCTGTCCGGCATCGGACCTTCCGACCATCTCACCGATCTCGGGATCGACGTTGTTCACGATGCACCGTCCGTTGGTGAAAACTTGATGGATCATATAGCTTACGGCGGCCTGACGTGGCTGGTGAAGGAACCGATAAGTTTACGGTTTATAGATATATTCAGCTCCGCATATACCTCAGATTTTCTCACAAGGCGATCGGGGCCACTGACAATTCCGGGCGGGTGCGAAGCACTCGCTTTCATCGACACGAAGCGGCCGGAAGAACACAGTGGTCTACCGGATATCGAATTCCTGTTTGTCAGCAGTGTAATTATAGGTGATTTAATTCAACCCATTATAATGAATTTCAATAACAAAGAACGCGATACTTCGTATAAGTATTTGGGCAAACATGGCTGGTCCATATTACCGCTGTTGTTGAAACCGAAAAGTCGCGGGCGGATAAGATTGCTGGCTAATGATATTAGTGTTAAACCGGAGATCACGCCAAATTACTTCGACGATCCCGAGGATGTCAGGACAATGATCGCCGGTATTAAGAACGCGATGAGCGTCGGCCGGACAAAGGTAATGCAGGCGTTCGGTTCGGAATTATTAAACGACACTATTTCGGGATGCGAGAAGTACAAATATGATTCTTATGCTTACTGGGAGTGTGCGATAAGGACATTGACGATCACAATCTATCACTACTCCGGGACTTGTAAAATGGGGCCAAGAGGGGATGCCACTGCTGTTGTCGATCCGGAATTAAAGGTAGCGTTTGTTGAGAATAAAATTAAAATTGAACTACGAGAGATTTGAGGGACGGTACTGTGCTGTGATTTATATCGAAATGCTTTATGAATTAAATGTGCAATGTTTCGCAGGTGATCGGTGTTCGAGGGCTGAGGATAGCAGACGCATCCATCATGCCTGAGATTATATCGGCGCACATAAATTTACCCGTTTTTATGATCGCCGAGAAGGCGGCAGATATAATCAAGGAAGAATGGGGATACTTGAAGAAATCACAATCTTGATGTTTCAAGTGTTTTTTCAAATTAGATGTAAATGTTATTATGTAAAGTGAGTTTTACAGCTGTAAACCTTGAAATATAATGCAGGGACATTGTGAAAACTGAGAAATTTACAGCTTAATTATGAGAGATATGTATGTATGTATAAAAATTTATTTATTATGGTCAGGTAAGGTTGTACTGAAGCGACATATTTAGACGTGCATAGATTAATAATAAGTAGCTTTGAGAGCAAATGTTGAAATATGCATAGTGATGAATATATGCAATAGTGATGAATATATGTCTTTCGAATATATTTTCAAAATGGTATTTTAAGTATTTTTTTTCTTCTAGATTAATGCGAGCATTAAAAACAATCTAAAAAAGATTGTTTAAATATCTGTTGTGTTTTTGGTATCTAATATTGCGCGAACATTTCTTTTCTCTGTGAAATTTAAACTAGAACTTTATGTAAAATTTATAACAATTTTGTTTTAAATAGATATATGAAATAAAATTAAGAAAAATACATTAAAAATACATTTATATGTATAGGTATGTTTCTCTGATCTTATTACTACATAAATAATTCATCACTTGAAAAAGAAGAGTAAGACATAAAAATACTTAAAATTATATATATTAAAAAATAAAAAAAAAATCTGGCCACGTTATTAGAGAAAATGTAAAATTTTTTGTAGAGAAACGAAGCCTATAAAATAATATAAAGGAATTTATAAAGATTAAGCTATAAAAAAGAAATAACGTCTAAGATGACATCATAAAACGATTATAACAATCAATTCCGGAAATTCTCTTACAAGCGAAAAAGGCAAAATAGCTGCTTCATACAGCACTCGAGATAATACAAAAATTGTGTATAAAAAATAATAAATGACAATTTTAAAGAGCTTATGTAAATCTCCTAAAATCTCTTACTTAAATCATGGATGTGATATTCATCGTTAAAAAGATATCCGCAAGTATTTTCAAGAATATTCAGTACATTCAATATTCACCAAGATTAGACATGCAGCAAATTAGCCGATTAATGCGCCGCATTAGACGTGCACGCGAATCGGCTTTCGCAATTATAATTCATATATTAATACAGCGTTTTCGATTATGCGAATTTTTATCGACTTAAGGTTGATTAATCATTATTTTATTATGAATTCAAGTCTTTTATCGGCGAAGACAATGCAATGACGTCATTAACCTTGAATCGATCAAAATAAATAAATGTAAAATATGTAATATGTAATATGTAAATATGTGGTTCAATTTATATTCTTACAATTATTCTTACCTTTAACGTGTCCAGATCCAGTATGTATCTCAGATAAGTCTTTTCATTATATTTGTCTTTTCGCGTAATACATTTCACTTTACAAAATTCAACGAAGCAGGTATTCAAACTGCATATGAATAAAAAAAAATCAGATATTCTTCTTCCAGTGAATTGGCTACACTGGAGGCCAAGGGTTGAAACACAATGGCCAGAAATGTCCTAGCTGGAAAGGGTGTAAGAGTAAAAAGAAAATAGCAGTTTGATAGGTCAACGTTAGGTTATACTCAATGAAGTAATTTTCTTTAAACAAAATCGGCTCGTCGCTCTCGGACGTGGAGGTGAGCGTCGATAGTGATTGCAACATGCGACAATGAAGAGATTCAACGAATTTCTTGCGACCTGCGTCGTATTACAATTCTTGTGCGGTACATGCACTACACACTTGCTCATAAACGTCAAAAATCAGGTACAAGTGGATGCATGCCTATAAAAATTATTTAATCGGAAAATTTATAATTTATTTAGAAAGGATACTGAGACTTTCAGATAAATAATTTGTAGAAATATTTATCGAGTTAACCTAGGAATATCTTGATATAACCTTTGACCTAAATATCAAATATTTTTTCATATAATAAATATATCTGTAGCTTATAAATAATTTTACTATTAGTATTATTAATGAAGTTTTCTTCCATTGTAGGGTGGTGATATTCTTCTAGAAACAATCTCATCTAATGTGACAGAAGATCTGATTACTCTCGAATTTCAACGTTCTGATGGTACACTAGTTACGCAACTCATTGATTTTAAGAATGTAATTATTTTTTTAATATTACAGTTTACACAAGTAGAATTCTTTCCTACTTATTTCTATAAACTCTGTTATACAGGAAGTTCAAGTTATAAAAGCTTTAGTGCTGGGTGAAGAAGAACGTGGACAAAATCAATATCAAGTCATGTGTTTTGTAAATCATTTTTATAAGGTAGATTTCATATCGTCTGACGCAATGTCTAAATTGCGTCAAAAAAATCCTGGTACTGTGCGTGTAGCGGAGGAGGACAGAGGCCATGTTAATTATACAATGGACTTATTCTTGGATGTGTCTCAGTCTAAAGAAATCTCAAAACACGTTACTACACTTTGTACGGAAGCAACTGGATCAACCTATACAAGAAATGACGATATAAAACAATGGGTTCAACGACCAGGTAATTATTTGCAATTTATAACCATCATTACATACATTGCTATATAAATTAATTTTTATGGTATTGTCAGGTTCTTCCGAAGAATTGCTCATGGCAGCTGTATATAACTTTACAACTATGCCGCAATCAGGCATAAATGACACGAGACCATTGTTGGTCTCCAAATGTGCTGACACATCAAATCTTTGGGCATCTTGTACATGCTCTCTGGAATTATGCATCGGTTGGTATCCATGTGGTCTAAAGTTTTGCAAAGGAAAATCCGATGGCAAGAAAGTAGCTAGCACTTATCGATGCGGTATAAAAACCTGTAAGAAATGTTTTATATTCTCATATTATTCTAAAATGAAACAAAACTGTCTGTGGGACGAATGACGTATAAGAACACTGTAGGTTGAAATTTCGAATGTAAACTGAAAATATTGATGAGATAGACAGATTGGAATGAAGAAAGTAAGCGAATTATGCTAGAAACAAATTCGAGATCTTAGAGATGATTTTTCAAGAAAATACTTTAAGTAGTGAAAATATGAAACACATTTGAGGAAATATGAAACAATTTTTGAAGAAAAACTAAAATTTTCAATATTTTATTAAAATAATCATTGTTAATTTGAATTTTGATGAGTATACATTAAAATAATTTTAGACATTTTGTGATAAATTGATTAAAATTTACATGTTTTATAAATATTAATATAAATCTGGATATATGTTGGAATAGCGAAATTATCTTGTTTCATTTCAATACTTGTTTTCAATTATATACGTAATTGAAGCCAAAGAAAATTAATATATTGTTACAAGATTATATTAGATTTATACAAATGCTGGAGATTCTGAAAACATAATAATAATGAATTAAGTTTTAAAGGAGATTATATTAAGGAGTTGTATTTAATTCTTATGAACAATTCAATTCAGAACAATTCACAACTAAATGTTTAAAAAGTTCACCCATTTCTTGTTTATAGAAAGATTTTATCAAATATAATTTACACACACACATACACACACATATATACACACACACACATATATTTTATTGAGTGGATATTTGTAACATTTATAATTTTTTTGTTTAACTTATATGGGAATCATAGCTCAATACATTCCAACATTTGTATTAAAATATTTTAATTTAAAATATCGTTTTTAATTCTACTTTTGCAGAATTTAGAATGTACTTTCCTATAGCAAATTAAAAAGGATACAAAACTACTTCCGGATAAGAAATATCTGTAAATATATTTAAAAAGTATCTGCGATAATTTTTTGGAACATATAGAACGTTCTTATGATTAACTATTATATGTTCCAAAAAATTACCACAGATGTTTCTTTCACTTTCACTGAGTTTATCTAACATTCCCGATTGTTATGTTTTTTACATCTATGATAAACGAAATCATTCCAGTTTATATACCCGGTAATTTTTACTTAGAATATTTTTCATACGAATTATATATGTTACAAATAATCCACTCGAAGCACAAAAATGTTTTACTTTATATCTCGTCTAGAAATAATTTCTTTGACAAAATGTATGTAGAAAATTTTATACTGAGACTTGTAAAGCTGCCATTTATACATTGTATGTGTGTACATTATAAGTTCCAATTGTACATAATGCAGGCACGTATGCTGAGACACAAATAACGATAAATATCTAACGACGATCTAGACAATGTATATATATATATAAATCTGTGTTAATAGTCGAGAATTGTACAGTCTATACAAGATTTGCAGTATCGCGTGCGAGACTTTATAAGAATTATTATCAATTTGTATTAATACTGTAAGTATTTATAAAGAATGTCTTTGCACGTTTCAATGAGAGAGTACATATCTAGTGTACCATTGTGAACAAGACTGCAAAATCTGTCCATTTAACATTTAAGCCATTGCTCTCTGAAATCCTTCACGTTACTTGTACATGTAACACATCGCATTTACAATAAGAGAAAAATTGTCTTAAGCGAGAAGAAATACGTATGTATACTTACGCTTGTAATCCGATGTTTGCGAAACGTTTGCGATCAATATCTAGCAATATTTGATGTCGTTTAGTCAGCAAGTACTGTACTGTGAATAGAAGATGCATGTGTTAATGGTGCTGAGGAGAATTGTACCCGGCACGACTTCCTTGATAGACCCTCACTACCTATTGTCGCATCCTTCTAAGCAGCCGAGCGTAGAACTTGACTCTAGAAGAAATATTGATAAATGTGCGGTAATTGCGATACATTAAGAAACAGAGCCGGGATTACAGCTCGGTAAATCCAACAACAGATTCCAAATTGATCCTTAGAATTGATTAATCACACAAGCTACTTGTATTTTGTAACACGCATAAGTGGAAAGAACGATACTGAAAGGTACATTTTTTGACTTGCCTCGGCTGCTAAAATATTATCGCAATTTATTTTAATTGGAATATCTAATCCCGACTCCGCTATGGACGATTCATAAATTACATTGAACGACATCGGCATTACTTAAATCACAAACACTATAAGAAAAGCAATCGCACAATTCCATTAGACATTTACGTTAAATCAATGGGGATTAATACATGAAATTTACAGAATAAAGTCACAATAGCAATACATCATTTGTATAGAAATATATGTATATATACTCAGCAGAGGCTTGGAGACTAATTTTGAAGTCTTACTTTTAATTATGATAGCAATTTTATGTATATGATCGATGTTAGAAACAAAAGGACAACATGTGCAATAAGAACTTGTAGGTAACAATAATATTTAAATATATATATAGTTTATTTAATATATTTACTTTCTTCACGTGCCTGTTGATGAATTAATAAATGTGCTATATTTATTTGCTTGAAAGATATTATATATCTATAGTTATCCGGGATTTCAACACAGAGGATTATATGAATAGGATATGATGTAGGGAATGAGAAAATGTTCGTCAATGTTTAATCCACTTTGTATCAACCCCCTTTGATGTAATTTATGAGTATCACCACGCACTGTATGATTTCAGCTTTACACATAAATGTACCTTATACACATATTTTTTATATATATTTAATAAAAAGAATTATAATATACATACATGTACGTGTTTTTAATTTCAGAATGTTGATCCTGAAAGACTGGTAAAGTATATGTGTGGCTAAATGCAAAATTAACTTGCACGACATATGCATTATTATTTGGAGAAAAAATTTTACGAAACGTTTACTAATATACAGTTTTGTCGGGTACGAAATTTCTCAGAATCTTTATTCTAATTGCGGAGATGAATGTATATTTTATGACATATGTGTCACACATATATTACCAACCACACGTATGTATATATTATACTATACATATAAAATAAAAGAAATGTAACAATGAAATTCTTTCAATAATGTATTATATTCTTTAGTGAAAGGATATTCTTTGAAGGATATCTGCAAATAAATGTTTATACCTAGTTCTATTAAGTACGATACATTAATAATAATAATGTTAATAATAGTAAATATAATAATATAGCAAAATATAATAATAATAATTTAACCCAGAATTCTTTACACATCTCTATACACATCGAAAACGTTTCGCATCACTCGCATTTTTTCATTACCTCTATCAGGATTAAAATTGTGCAACTTGTGCAAGGCACTGAAAATATTTAGCAAGTCAATAATTGATTTATAACAGAAATGTATTAATATCATTAAAATCATTAAAAATAAACTTTTGGGCGATAAAACTCAGCTGAGTCGTCTGGCATTAAAAGGTAAATCCATCTCAGAGAAAATACTTGTTAAGGCAAAACATTTCTTGATATGTACAAAAGCTTTCTAATATAACATAAATTTAATATCTCTCATTATATCACTATTATCTCTGCTACTGTGTTATCTCTGATAATAAACCTATAGAAGTGATATCTACGTGAGTATACAATCCTTTTTGCAATTTTATGCTATACTATTTGTGTGAGAGCTATGCACCATCAGCCGCCTATCGCTGTATTTTACACAAAAGAAGTAATTATTTATCTACATAATTATATATATTTATATAATTATATATTTATATAGGAGAAAATTTTGCTAAATTAGTTAAAAATGATAAACATTTCAGAATAATAGAAAAATGATTAAAAATACAATTTTGTAAAATATAAAAAACAGATAAATCTTTGCTAAAATTTGACGACATTTTGAATCAATATTCGCATTAGACAATTTATTATATTAACATTTTACGATAAAGTTATAAAATAATTTTAATTTTAATTGGAATTTTACTTACTGCAGCTCATTGACAGGCGACATTTGTACACCACTGACTTGCATGAATATAATTTCAGTTGAACTGAAATTCATAAGAGATCGTGCTTATACATATGAGATACTCAGCCATAGATAAAATTCTCTAGAAAATAAAACTTGTAAAATAAACTCTGGAATTGCCGGTGCTAGAATTGCATAAAATCGAGTTGCGAACAATATCTCTCGCTCGTAAAAACATACGAAACTAAAATACTATTTTCAAAATTAATGAAAAAAAAAACATACCTTCTATCACGGAGAGATAAAAATGCTTTGATATATTTCGAGATAGCACCAACCATGCGATGACGTAAAATGTACACGAGCGTTCTTTCCGATCGAAGGAAGAGTCCGCCGCACGGGGATGCATACATCCAAGTCGAATCACGCAGATCGTCCCGTGCACTTTAAAGAAAAGGCACTAGCTACTGTAGCAGGTCTTGCGTACGTCCGCAAGTATAACACTGAAATCGTCGTCGGCCTTGGTCACATGCTCCATGCTCTGCTGCTGCTGCTGCTGCTGCTGCTGCTGCTGCTGCTGCTGCTGCGATTGTGATTGCGGATGCTGTTGCGAGGTCGAATGGTCCGGATATTTGGATACTTCCAGGCTCGGATGATACTGCTCCATGGCGTGACCAATCGCAACGTTGGAGCAACGGGCGTCCTTGCCGCCCTCGTCGACGATGCACTGCGAATTCGGCATGTCCAGTTGCGACTGCGGCGGTGCGCCATAGTAGCGCAGATCGCTGGCGTAATTATGATTGCTGTCCAGCATACTCTGCGAGGACAAGCTCGAGTGTGCCACGCTCGTCGGATGCGAATACTTGAAATACTTTTCCAGCTGCAGCTGCTGCTGCTGATCATCCTCGGCGCTCATGACGGGATTGATGTGGCCGCCGAGGATCGTGTGCTGCTGTTGCTGCTGAGCACTGCCGGAGGACGCGTCCGTCTGATACTCTTGATGGTGCGGCATTTGATACCGGTGCGTCACTGCGCCTGTAAAAATTTCAAAGTGAAAATTTTTAATAAAATAGTTTTTCTTTGAGTTTATTTTCAGTTTATCTCAAGTTTAGTTTATCTTTTGACCTCAATCAAAATTAATAATTTAGACAGTTGACAGAATATACAGAAGATGGTCAAAATCTTGACGTCCATTGTATTATTGTATTAATTAAAAAAAGATTGTAACAAGCAAAAAACATTTGGCGTTAGTTCGGTATCCTTGTTTCTTTATTTGTACAATAATTGATTTATTAATACGAGCCTATATATATTTTTATGTAATAAAAAATTTTTAATTTTGAAAATATAAAATGTTTTTTATAAAAATATACTAAATACAATTTATTGTCAGAAAAAGTACAAAACTAAATAAAAGAAACAAGAGGAACTTTTCTGTCGATAAATTATTTCTTTCGCACTGATAACCGCGCAATATTGCCTTTTTCCCTATTAATATTTTCTATTGTTACAAAATCATTCGTTACTCTATTATCAAGTACTATAAATTTATAAATTTGGCATGTATAAACGAAAACACAGTACATTACCGGAACAATTGTCAGCGGCTCCGCGGATTCCTATGGACTGCTGCCGATTGCACTGGATCGGATTATAATTGCTCTCGACGGTGGACTGCATCGAATAGTTCGTGCTCTTGGACGATTGCGTGTTGCTGTAATGTTGCAGCGATTGATCGTGCGGCGACGCGACCGGCGGATAAAATGTGCCCGTGACGGAACCGACGTTGTCGAAGCCGGAGCGCAACTTGTTGCACGACACCATCATACCGTTCGCTATGCCCACCGCGGCTATGCTCGTGGATTGTCTTTCAAAGTTCAAATAGCCCACCTAAGCGATCAAAAATATCGTAATATTTAAAATTGCCGTTCTCAGAACGTCGCTTTGTATTTCAATTAAATTCGAACTTGATACAAATAACATTTTTTTTTTTAATTATCTACAACTTCGCACACATTATTCGAAGATATACGTACGGATTTTTTGTACGTTAAAGTATCCGTATAACCGCCGGAATTCTGACAGGACGATATGCTAGTGTTACTAGCGTGACCCGTGTGCAGTTGATTGTCGCTGCTCATGAAGGTGTATCGTTTCGCCTGATCCGTCATATCTCCGTGCTGCTTCGACGTGCCCTCCATCAGATCCCGTTCCGAATCCGGATTTTGTGACGGTAGATGCCCGCCGTCGCCTATTCGATTGTATCATTTCACAATTTACATTATCGCATTTGTAATTGTTTAATCACTCCAATTACGTCACATCTAATACCAGTGCTAATATTTTCATTACCGTCAGGCTCAGGACTGGCCACTGGAGATATGTCCGGAGTGTGGATAATGGGCGTGTAAGGGCTGCCGTAAAGCGAGTTGTTTTCCGATTTGTACTCCTGAATACCTTGCTGCTGCTGCTGGTGATAAAGGGATGAGATCGGGGAGTGGCCACCCCAAGGGATCTGAGGTATGCCTTGGTAACTGTCCATCTTGGACCTAAATTTCGAATTGTATTTATAATAATATAATATCAGCCCTTCAATTATACAGCAGTATTTTTGTGCAGAGCAATCTGTAAACGGATCAAGTAAAACTAAAAAATGTTACATAAGCGTCCGTTGTACAATTAGAAAAAAATTGAAAGAAATTTATCCTATACTTCTGCATCAAAAGGTGATTATCTTAAAAAATTCACATATTGTTAAATTTCAAGTATAACGCCATGATGCTGCCGGCGTTTCACTTAAATCATGCTAGGATCTCTCAATTAACCGGCGGTTACTCGCACACGTACCTTCATTAGCGGAAAGTATCGTGCCGGTATCGACTTACATGGAATGATGAATCGTCGGACCCGCCGGGTTGGACCTGCTGCCCGCGGTGTTGGTCGCCGAGGTTGGCGAGGACGGTGCACCGGGTGTCCGTTTCGCGTGCTTCCTACGCCGCGGCCGGTACTTGTAATTCGGATGCTCCTGCATGTGTATAACGCGGAGGCGCTCGGCCTCCTCGACGTACGGCCTTCTGTCTTGCGGCGTTAGCCCTCGCCATTTCTTTCCTGCGAGAACAAAGCTCCATCAGAAATAAAGAATGAAAGAAAGAGAGCAACGAAAAGCGTAAAATAATTAAGACACATAGTACACAGCATGATTTTCTTACCATCGTTCCGAATCTCCCTTCGCCGCATAAACAGGCAAAATGTTAAAAATTTCATGAATTTATTTATTAAAGTAATAAAAAGTTTTCAGATTTATTCACACAATAAATAATATAAAAAAATAGATAAGTATCATTGCTTTAACACAAAACAAATAAATTATCCTCGAAATATCTTAGCAATCCGTAGAAATTAACAATAATAAAATTAGGAAACACAAGAAACAAAAATAAGAAATTGATTATTTCCAAAACTATATTTGTTTCCTTAAAGAAATCAAGCCTTGATCAAAATATCTTTGGTTCGCTATAGATATCCAGTTGAGTTTACAAAGCAGCTTAAAAAGTTCAGTCGAAAATAAAGCCTCCAATTAACTTTTCACTAAATTGTAACACGAACTGCGATGAAAATAAACATACGAAATACAAAGGGCCAAGCAGACGAATTCATCGAGCGCTTTTACATCGTTTAGCGACATCGGCGCGCAAAGTCACATTGCACGCCGCGATACAACAAATCCTCGCGAAAAACCCCGTAAATACTGCCGATAAATAAATTACGCTCCGCCTCGGCAATAATGGGTCGAGCCCCGCGGTGTATCCATCTCGATATCCTGAATCTCGATAAAATCGGCCGGTTACGAGGCCCCTTTGGGCTAACGACGCGCTTAATTCGGCTCTCGCGGGAGAGAAGCGGCTCCTATCTCTTCTTCCGTTGCCCCGATACATACGCGCGGCGCAAAACGAGCACAGAAATGCGCTCTCTTGTTGCAACGCATACGCAATGTACGTATATACACGTACGGATATACACGTATTACAGGTGGGCTTGGTCGGCGGCGGCGGCGGTGGCGGCGGCGGCGGCGGCGGGTCTCGGGTCTGACGACCAAGCCTGGAATCTGCCTCGGTTTGCGTTCAATATGCCAACATGGTAGGCCCGGAATATCATTAAGCGAGAGGCATAAGGGTTAATACGAACGTAAGATGTTCGCGACAAGAACGAAAAAATTGAGCGCGAGGCGGATGTATATATGGCGCGCGCGCGTACATATGTACAACGCAGGACCGTGCCGGTAAATATATACAATATACATATATATATATATATGTTTATATATATATATATATATATATACATATATATATGATCCTGTATAGGTACATAGGCGCATGGGGGCGTAGATATGGGTGCGCCCGTGCCTTCAGCCAGCCACAAGGCACGAACCATTATTTCATATTTCATTTTGTATATTTCAACTCCGCAGGAGAGAGAAAGAGAGAGAGACGCTAACCCGGAGGACTCCGGAAGAGGGGGAGAAGTGAGAAAAAAACGAACGAATCGGTCGTTGCGGCGATCGTAATCGAAATCGCGCTCTTCGGCAGATCTTCCTCCACTCTGTTACGTCTCTAATATAATAAACAATTGCGGGGGAATGCGAAAACATTCCCCCGAATATTTTTACGACACGAATGATTCAAATAAGAAAAAGAAAAAAAAAAGAAAGAAGGGAGCTCCTCGAGGAAATCGCTTTTATCGCACAACAATGTTTTCCTACCGATTTCTTTCTTTCTCTCGATCGTCAGTTCGATCGTCCGACTTTTTCGCACGAGAAAGGAATCGAAAGAACGTCACGACAAAGAGAAACGCGGTTTTTCGGCTAACAATAAGTGAAGTTAATTTAATATTCCGGGGCGCGTTCGCGATGAGTTATCTGGCGGTGATTCATCATCACACCCGCGCACGCCGCGTCCCACTGCGTGATGTCCTCGTTAAGTATTCTAATGGCTGGCGTGTACCTCTAATTTACCGCGCGCGCTTAGGCCGCCGAGAAGCCGGACGACTTCATTCATTTCGTATGTTTCCAAGCAAAAGCGGACCGACGCGCCGGATTCTCTTGTCTCGAGCTCTTCGCGATCCTTCGTGGTACTTTTCGCGTGTAATCGAGTGACGCGCAATGTCTCTCTTAAAACGCAGATGATTTATACGGAAATAAAATTCTGCTTCGTACAGCAAAACTTCCATTTTTAACAAATGCATTCACTTCGTGTATCGAAAAAAATCGAGTGAATTTGTGCAATATTTAAATCGCGTGCGTGTGTATCGCTTTTCTTTGGACATTTTGTAAGAATATTCGACTAGCTAAATGTGTAAGCTTCAACAGACTTCCCGTGTCGCAATTTCAGTCGTTTCGCGCAGAGAATCGCTCGCACAGATCTATCAGGACTGAGATCTAACGGTGAGAGCATAAATTAGCAGCGAGCATCGCGACAAATTACGAGACTTCTCCGATCGCGCTTGCCGAACGTGAAGTCGTCGCACATGTCAAAAGGTCCTTCTAATCGAGTCTCTCTCTCTCTCTTTCTTCGTGTCGCGCGCAAGAATCCGCGTCTCGAGCCGTTGACATTTTCCAGAAAGCTCGTTCGTTCTTCTACCTAATTAACGATTCCGCGGTGATTTACGCACGCGCCCATCGGTAATTCACCCGGCCGGCGATCGGCGATTAAACTTCTCCTCTCTCCGTCCCTCCGGAGTGCCCAGGCACCTCGGGAATTTTGTTATAGTCGCGGGTGCAGGCGCACACAGAGGCTGGCATGTGACATTTTCAGAATCGAGCGAGAAACTTCTCGCGCACGGCATTTAGCATGTAATTCCGTCGCAGAAGTTGGCGCTCGCTGCCGCTGTCTCGAGACTTTAATTACGCGGTTACGCGATGAATCCTCGGATTGAAATATTTTTCGCGGTAACATCGAAATTGCTCGTAAATCTATCGGTTCGTCCTTGAGCGGCTGATTGATACATTCGGTTTGAAAAAAGCGCTGTCGATATGGTTCGACGTTTTTAAATTATTCTTACACAATGTGCGAAAATATACACAGATGTGTAGCAGAAACATTGCGATGCAATCGTCGATGAGTATTTAATTATTTGGAAAACTTTATCGAAATTCAAAAGCGAGTATTTTCTCCAGAACTCCGCTTTTATTTCGCAATCATTCAGCGAACTGTACTCATCTTCTCTACAAGTCTGAATAGCAAACGCTAGGAAATCTAAAAAATTTACGATTTTTCGCTGTGGAGAAATTTAATCGAGAGTGTCAGGGAAATCGGAAAGTCCCCAAGAAGTTTCTAAAATTTGAATAGACACCCTGCAGTTGCATGCATGCGGCGATAGTCTGCGCGCCGGAAAAGACGACGAGACGAAGAGAGCAGAGGAGGAGCGAGAAGGCCAGAGAACGAGGCCCACATCGGTGGAACCGCATCGCGCGCGCACCCCGCCCAACCTGGGTCGCCCACTGTCACCATTAATAATACGTCTCCCGTCCTGTGATGTATCTCATCTCCCTCGACGCTGTGTGCGTGTGCGCGCCGCGTCGGTGTCCCGACACACCGACGCGTTCATCACCTGTACAGATGCAGGCATCGATGCACACGGCGCGTGCATCTGGGAGGGGTCATATATGCGACAGGAATTGCCATCTTTAAATTGTCGTTTTCTCGGATCCAAAGTTTCGAGATACGTTATTATGTTAGTCCTTCGACGCGTTCGAGGAATCTTTGAAATCAGCACGTTTATTTACTTTTATATAATATTTCAATTATATATTCGATCAAATTTTTTTTCTTCTCAATAGCGTTTAGAAATCTGAAAATTCTTTCGCAATATTTTATTTGCAACAATAATTTCTTTAGTATTTGCAAAATCTTCATTGTTGAGTGATATACATCCAAGAGTTGATAAGAAAAGCGATGGAAAGATACCGGATAACTGATTGATAAAATTAGACGCCAAATTAAAAATTAAAGTTCACGGAAATTTCATGAACTTGACGTGACGACTCTAACAGTGGCGTCCGCTTTGACAGTTTACTTTCCAGGACAAAGATGTCAGGTAGGCTCGTAGGTAGACACACAGTGTTCACCATTCAGACTCGCCTCGTTGAGTGAGTACAACCGACTTGAGTAGCACGTGGACGAAGGCGTCTTTCGCCTTCTTGTGTTCCGCGGACAATCAAACTTCCTTGCGATTCTTACAGCGCGAAGGAAAACTCGTATGTTTTCCCCTTTAATTGTCATTTTCTCTACACTTTCTATTCTTAAAATAAAACAATTTGACGAACAGTTGGAGAAAAAGAGGGAAGAGAGATAAACGTCTTGGATTTCTCGGTAAAGAACGGCTCGGAAAAAAACCGCGTGTCAGTCGTATCTCTTTCTTCAAACGCGTCAGGAAACCGCGAAAGAAGCGTTTCCACAGTGCCAGCGGAAAGACAGTGACATGCTCGCACTCGTCGAGAATACGCGCTCGTAGACGGCTACGCCGCGTCGTAATCGCCGTAAACTTCAGCCGAACTTCGTGAAAGTCGCGGAGGATGACTGACAATCGGTGTGAGAAATCTCTGGCCGATTCGCCGAGATCTTGCACGTGGAAAGTTTTGCACGTAAATGCAAGTCTCATTTAATTTCATCATTTTTCAAATTTGCACAGGCGCGGTTGAAAAATTCCCTGCGCCTTCGCGAACAAAGACTCAGATTGCCAATCGTCGCGTACCGCTCGAAATTCGTCACACCACTTGTAGATCACCCTGTACATCGCGAGACGTATCGACACCGCGGCGGTGTCATACGAATTATCATATCACTCCATCTGTCATTTTTCTGATCCGCATGTAGGCGTGGTTGCGGGCGATTCACGGCCGAAGATCAACGGGAGGGACAAAAGTCGCCGATGAATCGCCCGTCGAGGCCCTCGCCGCGCTCGAGGGCTTCCTCCTCCCCCTCCCCCTTCAACCCTCCCGCTCCCTCGCCGCGACCCATGTGTGTATTTTCATAAATACAATAATTTATTTCTCTTCGCAACCGAGCGAGGATGGATGTTGCAATCTCGACTTCGTCGTCTTCGTCGTC